GGGTGGCCGCAGTGGGTGCCCGGAGCCGGGCCATGGTCCTGCGCATGGTGGTGCTGCCGCGGCCGACGGCAGCAAAGGGGAGGGCGGGCTCCTAGTGCCGAGTTCTCTTTTTCATTTCCCCTTTTGAAAAAATATGCATTAATTTGTCTTTCCTATCAATTGATTTTCCAGTTAAAACTGCCCTCGATTCCCACCCTGCAGGATAATAAGCCATATAAAAGCAATGGATACCCCGTTGCTTGAGAGACTAAAATTTACTGAAGACTTACACGCTCCAGTCCCCAAAGGGGGCGAGAGGAAATGATTTGTTCAATTAATTATAAATGTTTTAATTTAAATGGCTAATGTAGAAGATAGTCAGATATAAGCCAGCAAACTACTGAAGTGTTTTATGGGTCCTTAAAGACCACTAAATGCTTGTTCTGATTCTGCTAAGATCACTCAAATGACTTTTTCCTCTTGCATTCAGGGTAGGGTGCAGTGGGAGGCCAGGGGGAGAGATTTCCTCTTGTATTTTACATACCTCCAGGCAAGTTGTGATAAACGTTTGGTTGTGCTAAATTCATTTCTTTGGAGCCGGAGTTTGCCTTTGAAAAACAGAAGCGTTGCCCGTGCTGCGGAGAGGTGAAAAGAAAAAAACGGAGAAGAAGAAATCTTGGGGGGCCAAGGTCACCTCTTGCTGTAGGGTTACCCCGGCGCCTGCCGCATCCCTGACGTCCTCCTTGATATCTCGGCCAGCTCCCATCGCACGGGATGACGCTGCCTTTAATTCCGCGGTGACGGATCGTTCACACGCATCCCCAGCTGGAGCAAGGTGGCGAAGCCCTTTGTCTGGCGGCATTAATGAGCTGATTTATGCAGGGAGGGTTCCCAGCCTGCCCTTTATCTTGGAAAAAAAATACTGACTTCAGAAATGCAGATTTATGAGATTTATTGCAGAAAGAAATATTGCAGGAAAAGGAGGGATCCCCGAATGGAAGTTTCCTGGGTGAATGAGAGGGAGAAGGAGCCTGTGTGTCCGTGCCTGGCCTGGAGCAGAACAAGCCCAGACCTGGGGGCTGCCAGGTTTTTCCTCCTGGTTTCTGCTCCCACCCCTTCTTCTTGCAGTTCAAACTCCCTGTCGCTATCGCATTCCCCCGTCTTTATTTCTCCTCCCGCCGCGATGCCCCGTACCATGCCTGCTCTGTGACTCTGCTGACGGGGCTGCCCTAATTCTTCCCCGTGGTTCCTATTTTGTTGCTTGAAAAGGAGCGGACGGAGACTGGGAAGGGGGTAAATTGGCCGCTCAATAAATGCGTTGTCTCCATTCCTTTTTCCTCTCCTGTCTCCATACTGTCCTACCCTGAAAAGTATTTTCCTGGAGTTCTCAGTTTGTTGACCCCTAAAGCTCTGGAGCTGTTACCCAAACCGAATGCCTTTTCTTTTTTGTGCTTCAGCAAAATCTCGCTCGCTTCCAGCCCAACCCATCTCCCCCCAGGCCCCACAGAAACGATTACGGCTGC